GAAATTAATGGCAATAATTGTTTTCTAAGCAACACTTCGCTGCAAATGTCTTCACTTGTGAGCAATTGTGGCGAAACTCTTGTGTTGAGTCCAAACGGTGTGCAAAATATGCCGCAAATGATGACCGGACTCGAGATGAATGCCTTCAACACCACATTCAATGGATTGGATTTAAACAATTCACTCATTATTAACACCAATGACTTGACGTCCGAGCAGACGGGCCAACAGATACTGTTGGTGTCGTCGCCCATGGATCTGATGGCTGTCCAGCAGTCGCAGCAGTCGTTGATCGCGAAGCCACAGCAGACGGCCGTTCAGATGGTTCTGCAGACGACGGACTTCCCGCTGATATCGTCGGGAACTCAACTCAATGTAATACAAGTGCCAACAAACCTCTTATTGACGGACAATAATCTAATAGTTATACCACAAGAGGGTATCACTCTTGAAGTGCCCGCACTTGACACCAATGTCTCGCAGCAGACATTAGTCGAGAATCAGTTAACTTACGATAATAAGAGTCAAACGCTTGTATATAACGGGTCGCCACAACTCATTGAACAGCAAATCAATTGTTATAGTAATCAGAATTTGGACCAATTGGTGGTCAATCTGAACGATTGCATTGCCATTAATGCCATCAATAATAAGTCAGTTGATAGTCCCGAAGGTCGCCACAACTCATTGAACAGCAAATCAATTGTTATAGTAATCAGAATTTGGACCAATTGGTGGTCAATCTGAACGATTGCATTGCCATTAATGCCATCAATAATAAGTCAGTTGATAGTCCCGATGGGAACCAATATTTTCAGAGCAATCATCAGATTATAGGCATAATCGACGGCAACCCTAACGAAACCAAAGTGATTGCCGCCAATGAGTTGAGCGCAGGCTTTGACGACTTGAACACATTTCTGGCCACTTCTTTGTCACCCAATCAGACACAAGAATGCGATGCAAATGAAGCCAAGAGTTGGCTCAACGACAGTCTCATTGCATACCGAGCTATGGCTGCGTTCAAGAAAGTGATGCCAAACGACACGCCGAGTCCCACGAGTGGTATACAAATACCTGTCCAGAAACCACTAAACAATTGAGTGTTTTTGTGACAAACTTTGAATTAGATTTGTAAGACGAATGAACACTAATTTGCAACAAATACTGACAGATATTCGTGACTTTATATACTGTGATATATATGATGTGTATTTAAACCAAATTCTATATTAACTGATTATAATATTGAATATATTTTGGACAAACAAATTGTTATTCGCCTTACAATTAGAGAATAAATCAATCAATTGATTGGTTTGTCTCGTATTTGGACTCAAAATCTTATTCACTACAGAATTTTATTGCAAATTCATTATTCATTATATTTTGCAAAATGAATATTTTAAATGATTTTAAAATGAGAACAGATATTATTATGACTTTAAATATAATGAAGTCTTCTCTGATTCCAAAGTAATGTAGAGTCGATCCAAATGCCGTCAAATATTTTGATTCAAATATATATATAAAACACATATAACTTGTATATTAAATGCCGTATATTTTATGAACAAAACGCAAAGAATTGGAAAATTAATTTAATCTTAATTTTCACATTTACTGTAAAATGAATGTTAAGTTTGAGTTTAAAAAAGAAGAGAATATTGACAGAAAATTGTATTTTTGATTGAATTAACAAATTATAATAAAAAGATAAATTGCAATTAAGTTATCTTTAAATTTAATTTTAAAAATTTAGCCACAAATGAATGCAATCAATACACAAAGAAAAGGTAAATTAATAATATAATGGTTTCAAATGTTGATCACTCGACTCAGCTTCTGGATGCGATTCAATAGGATGTCCCCCTGTTTAATGCAGGCCTGGTATTGATAGTTCTTACTGTCGGGTCGGTTGGTCTCCACAATTCCGTTCACTTTATCTATTTTGCAGTGAAGACGTCCGGCGGCTATAAAACGGGCCAACTCTTGATCGATGTACTGAACGGTGACCCCAAACGCGTCGGCCATGTATTTCAACTCCAGACTCCGGTACGACTCGAGCAACTGATTGTAGGCCAGGATTCGCATCTCACGGATATAATAGCGATAGTGGGGCGCAAAGAGGCGATCGGTTTTCATGTGGTTCTCCACCCACGAGAGCTTCCGGAAGAACTTGGCGTACTGGCACTCGTACAGCGAGAACAGGTAGTCGTGGACATCGGTGTTCGTGTGCAGCACTTCCAGTATCTCCGAGCCTCTGATCACTTTCTTCCGGAGCTCAACGCGCGGTAAAGCAATCACTGAACACAAGACAGTGTACGAGACGAACGACTTGTAGTCCGTGAGCTCATAGCACGTGAACGTCGAGATGGTGTCTAAGAAGAAGTTGGACGCCTGAGTGAAGTCGCGAATCGCCAGCGCATAAAAGCCCTGATAGACGCGCAGCCGATTACGGCGATCCCAATCCCCTCCCTCTTCGATCAGAGCCTTCGCTTTGTCGATATTCCGGGCCATCAGGTTGTGGTCCAAATAGAAGAGTCCGATTCGGATCATATGAAACACCAGATCCAAGCGGTGGCCCAACGATACAGTCTTCTCGTATGTCTTACGGAGAGCCGTCAGAGCGGCCTCTTTGTCGCCGATAAGGCTGTAGTACTCGGCTTTCGCCAGATTCGCCTCCCGGACCTCCATCTCCCCCGCGTTCTTCTCCGCGTCATCGATGGCTTCGTCCAACTCTTTCAGTCTCTTCTCGTTCTTCGCTTTCATTTGATTCAAGAGATCGCTATTCAGCGGCCAATTCAGGTCCTGACACACCTGTCATACACACAATGGCAGCATATGTGAGACACAGACAGTCATAGCACAAGAAGTGGTGATATATATACCTCCTGATAGAAGGGCGCCATATCTTTCTCGTGGATGGCGGCCAACAGGTTGTCTCTGATGGCGATATTGTCTTTGAACTGTTCTGTGGTTAACATGAACTTCCATTGCGATAACTCGAGGTTCGGGTTCTTCGCCAAACTCTCCTCTTCTAAGTTCTCGACCGGCATTGCAGTCAATCAATGAGTTCTTGTAATCTGACGATAAAGATGTGAATGAGATGTGTTTTGACCACAAATTGTCTGCAAGTGTATTGTCTTGGACTGCGAGCCCACTCACTATGATTCAGCTATTTATTCAAAGGAGTCATCAATAAATAGCGTTACACTTGTCTGGAGGGGAAGAGACTGTCTGTGAATGTAACGGTTGTTGTGGAGAGCAGTGTGTTATGAAAGTTGAGTGAAAAAACGTACAAAACATTTGTGCCGTTAATTGACTGCAAATGAGCGCAAAGTCCACTAATTTGGCATTAATTGCATTCATTTGACAGACTGTCGACTCAATGGTTGAATGCAAACCACATTTGTATCGCAAATACTGTGCACTCAATACACGTTAGACACAAACAATTGGTCACATGTTGTGAGACACAAACAAACATTGATTTTCATCAACCGTTCAACTCTTAAATGACCACTAATTTAGCACTTGATGTGAGACACAATCAGTGGTGAACTTATTATCAGCAATGAACTCATCAGTGGATGGCTCGTTGGGTGACACCAAAGTGATCATCAAGTCTATAGTGATCGCCAATCCAGACGGCGTGTCCCTCAAGAAGCTGTGCAATGAGTACAAAGAGCTCGAAGGTATGGATTAGATGCTGAGGACATGGATGTCAAGACATTAATGTGTGGCTTTGATGTGTGATTTGCAGGCGAAGAGATACCGTACCGGAAGTTGGGTTTCGATAACCTGACAGCGCTGTTGAAGTCGATGCCCGATATGGTGAGGCCGTTGTTCAGCGGCGATTCAGTGACACTGTATCCGGTTGTGGACGACACCACCGGTCATATCATCCAAATGGTCGCACATCAGAGCAAAAGGAGACTCAAACCCAAATGTATGCCTCGTTTTATCACTAATTTAACACTTAATTTGCCGCCAATTGTCTTGCACGTTGTTTATGACTGACTCCACGAGTAAATCCGGTTTTTTTAAATTTTTGAAGACATGGCTTTCGGATTAGATTAGTATTAATCTCTTTATCTGTCAATTGGTTGTGATTTGTATCGTTGATTAGCTGTAGATTTGAAATTCATTTATTGATTCAGTCTATGAATAGTTTAGTAAATATTATAAACTTAGTAATCGATCCCTGGCTGACAAACACATGGATTTGTTTATGTTTGAAACTTTGACTCATTTGTGATATTTGTTTAATTGAGTACAAAATACATTGTTTTTAACCATTGATTCAATTTATAAACCTTTTGAGCGCTCATCTCAAATGTCATACGAGTAGTGATTCATGAGATCTATTCAAACGTTTTGTTCACTTAAGGCTCGAAGAGTTTTGGTGGCAGACAAAAGACACCATTGAGGAGATCATTGCGGACATCGTTTGGCAACTCATCTAAAGCGCCGCTAAGAACCACAACTTCGGTTAAATCGACGCTTAAGCCATCAATTAAGTCAAGACTTGGCGTGAGGGTCGACACAAAGGCACCGCCAAAGCCATCGCTTAGGACTCCCGTGAAGTCACCGATCACTACATCCCAAAAGACACCTCAAAGCGCACCACAACAACGAAAGTTACCATTAGTTCAACCGTCAAATAGAGTCCAAAGCTTTACACCAAACAGACCGCAAACTTCAGCACCAAATCCGCCACAAAATTCATTTAAGAGACCACTGAATACATCGGAACGAATGGATCCGCGAATAGCGAAGAGATTGAACGCAAACAAAGACGAGGACCAGAAGACAACCACAATAACCATCAGCACTGATGACAAGACGAGCGCTAATGTGGCGCCACAACGGCCGACACAGACAGTGACGCCATCCAAACCCTTCCATGAGATGGCCACCGAAGAAGTGGAGGCTTTGGTGAGCGCAGTGCGAGAGACATCTTCGGTGATCTCATCCGTGACCACAGCATTGGAGAAGTCGAAGAGTGGCATCGATTCGCAGCTTTGGTCCAAAATATTTTCTGTCGAGAAAGTGACGGATTTGAAGACACTGTCGACAGACACGACCGGAATGTTGGCGGCGAAGACATGCCTCCGACAACCCCTCAAAATTGGCGAATNCAGCATTGGAGAAGTCGAAGAGTGGCATCGATTCGCAGCTTTGGTCCAAAATATTTTCTGTCGAGAAAGTGACGGATTTGAAGACACTGTCGACAGACACGACCGGAATGTTGGCGGCGAAGACATGCCTCCGACAACCCCTCAAAATTGGCGAATACTCGCTGAAGATTAGTGCGAGAAGTGATAATCGACTCTTTATTCCGGACGCCTCTGAGCTGAAGTATCTTCATATGCCGCCCGCCATCTCTGCCATTAGTTTAGACCTGAATCACGGCTACGAAATGGTTAGTGATATCCATTGGGGAAAGCCTTCCAACGCAAAGATCGACGAACTCTTGACGTGGATATTAAAAAATCGCAAGAAGTTTATGGTTAACGGAGAGTTAGTGCCCAAAGAACTGCACACAGACTTTGTTTGCTATAGAGGAGTGTTGGCAAAGCTGATGACCACTCCATACGAGAACTCCGAGCGTTGGGTGATATGTGCGACCAAATACAAGGGAACCATATATTTGTGTCAATTTCACGAGGAATACCCGCCGCCAGACGACTACTTCAACAAAATGAGTTTCGGCGGCTATAGGTTCGAGCACTACCTCACCAGTTATGAGCCGCAGTTCCCTCCCGACCCCAACGACTTCGATCCCGACCGACACGAGTATTGCGCGGTTATGCGGACACGAGTGATGTCTGAGAACACGTCCCACTCTATGGTATTCGGCGCTGAATTGGATTGTGTTTTGCCGAACGTGAGGGAACAGCCGGGAACTCTGTCCAACTTTGTGGAGCTTAAGACCACTAAAGTAATGGCCAAAGAGTTTCAATACAGAAATTTTCTGAAGTACAAGCTGTTGAAATGGTGGGCCCAGTCATATATGGTAGGCGTTCCCACTATTTATTGCGGTTATAAGGACGCGAAGAATATGGTGAAGGAAGTGGAACCGCTTAAGATCGACAGCTTTCCCGACCTGTGCGTCGAGTTCTGGTCGGCAAACGTTTGTCTCAATTTTCTCAACAAGTTTTTGCATCACTTGAAGGAAATGGTGACAATTGATGACCCGAACGTTGTCTATCAGTTCGCGTTTCAACCACAACATGACAT